CCCGTTAAAATGAAGTTCTGGACGTCGGAGCACATTTTCAAGTGAGTAGTTTTCAGTCTACGATTAAGTCTGTTTGTTAGGTAACTGATTTTCTCTTGTATGACTAGTTTTTTACGGTTCCTCCCACTATCCGGGGCGCAGCCTAGCTGCTAAGGTTACACATAAGTTAAGTAACTTAACAAAAAAGAGCCTGCAGCTAATTAACTTAAGTTACCGAAACGCTTGTCATGTATGTCAGTTACCCTAGCCACTAAAAGTGACCTCCAGGCGCAAATATGTATGAGCTTTTAAAAACAGTTACCTTATCTGCTTTTGCCAGTCTTTGTGCACTAGTAAGTAACCTGCTTTGGCTAGCTAGCTAAGTTAACTTTCAGGTTAGCATCTTGCCGCTAGCCTTAAAGATAACTTGGGCTGTCGGATGCTAGCCAAGTAACGCTACGTCGTTTTTTATTTTAGAGCTTGTGGCAGTATTTCAGCCACATGTTAATAAAAGGCTAAAGGGGTCCATGTGCTTTTCATGTGACTGCTCTGAATCACGGGGGCTATAATTTACCACTGAATTTGGCATAATGTGCGTTACATAACGGTGCGTCTGACTGCCAGACACTCTGCAATGAAAACAAAACAGTTCGTCTGTTTTCTGTGTATTTTTTAGAATCGGACAGCGTTACCTGTGTAACAATGGGTGGAATATTTATCAATTTCCAGAGGTTTCTAGACATGATACTGTTAGACAATGCTGTTGGTAGGGGGCGTCCCTCCTCCTGCCACTCTGTGAACACGGGCTCGGAGTCCGCGTTCATGACAGACATCACATTTAAACGGAGGCATTTTTGGGAAATTGTATATGATGGCTTCTCCGATTATTTTCACTTTTCTATTAAACCAATGCAGGAAGGCCGAACAACTTACCATTACCACGGCAATGAGATGACTGGTTACATCTAGGCTGCACTTATTTTTATGCAGGTTAACACTCACATCAGATAATTTGAAACAATAAATTATGTGCTTCTGTGCAACCAGTTAATTGTGTTAGTGCTGCTTAAATATATTTTACTGCCATGTATGTAAAAAACAAAAACGTGGTTGCAATGATTGATTTGTTAGCAGTGTTTCTACTAACAAGGTTGAGAATTTTGTTCAGGTTTACATGTTTACATACACTATGCATACCTACCTCTGAAAATGGACTGAATAACATTATCTGTCCGCTTGAATTTTACTGTTTCTGTTCTAACCTGTTGTGACATAATAGCAATGCATTTAGTAAATAAATTCACAAACAACAAAGATCGACAGTGCAACAAGTGAAGTTATTATTTTTAAGAAATCTGTTTATCACATTTATTAAAATGTAAATGTTCCAGGTAGCTACAGTTGAATAACTTTCATCTGCCTGAATGTTAAAAGTCCTGTAGGAAGATGCTGTTTTTAACGTCGGTATTGGTTTTAATAGCCACCCGTGGGAGACAGTGACCAAGGCGGCAATGCAGAAGTACCCCAACCCCATGAATCCCAGTGTGTTTGGTGTGGATGTTCTAGACAGAAGCGTGGACACAGAGGGACGGCTACACAGCACCAGACTGCTCAGCACAGAGTGGGGGCTCCCCTCCATAGCCAAGTCTGTAAGTCAGATGATAAAAGAAACACTTGCGCCGCATGAATGCTTTATGTTGATTCTTAATGTTAGTGTTTTTCTTGGTACCAAGCCTGAATTGTGTCCTTTTTCTGCAGCTCATTGGGGTAACAAGAACATGCACATATGTCCAGGAACATTCAGTAGTGGACCCCAAAGAGAAGACCTTCAAGTTGAAATCTACAAATGTGAGCATTATTGTTAATCAGCACTGTATTTCAGTCGTAGCAGCAGATCTAGTTGTCCACACTTTTGGCTCAAACAAGAAGTTTGTAAAGTTATTTTACGGAACAGAAGAAAGTTGCATAGACATTTGTGGCTGTTTTCCCTTTAAACTCATTAGATTTTGTTAAATGATTCCACTGTTTTATCTGCTTAAATCTGCAGTCCTCAGTTTCCCATACCTTTAAACCACAGCAGACATGGGGGGAATTTAGTGTTGTTTGGAACTTTGTTGTTGGTGTACAGTTATTATTCATGTTGCAAGTTACAAGTGCATTTGACACCTAACAGCATATTAGCACGAGACAGGTCTTTTAAAGCAGGTGGATCAGTGTCACAGCTTTGTGGTTCTGCCCTGACTGTTGTCACTACCTTTGGTCTTTGATTATCGAATGCTATTGTCAGTGTAAATATTTTCTATGATATAAAAAGACTAATTCCTACTTTATTCTTTCCATCCAGATCTCCTTCACTAATCTGGTATCTGTAGATGAGAAGCTGACATACAAGCCTCATCCACAGGATCCTGAAAGGTACCTGACTCGATTTTACTTTTCTAAATGTTAGATGTCCATCACATTGTTATTGTTATTAAAATGTTTGGTCATTTAAATGAACGGTTCTAAAATGGATGCAAAAGTACAACAGATTAAACATTGTGTTTATTGTTCCAGCACAGTTTGACCTTTGTTTATATGATTGCGTGTTCAGGACTGTGTTGACACAGGAGGCTCTAATCAGTGTCAAAGGCATCAGTTTGAGCAGCTACCTCGAAGGCCTGATGGCCAAGACCATCTCTGTCAACGCCAGCAAGGTGAAGCCGCCCATAACTTACTGTGACAGTATGACCCGTCCTCTGTTTTCATAACAGTATACCTGTCACTGCACTATGTAATACTTGTGTCTGTCTCAGGGTCGGGAGGCAATGGAGTGGGTCATCAGACGACTAAACACGGAAATTGAGCAGCTGGCGGCAACCGCCTGTGGTACGATGCGTGCTCCCATGGCAGCAGCTGCTGCAGACAAATGATCCCGGCCTTCGCTGCCTCCTCCTCCATCATGAACTGATGGATTTCTTAGACACTTTCCCCTCAAAGGGGACCTCTCATCTGCCAGCACAGCCTAATAACCACAGAACCATCCTCTGACCCTATGTACGTTTGTTTGTTTGTATGTCACAAGAGCTCAGTCTCTCAACAGACTGAGTTTGGTACTTGCCGCTGTGGGCGGTGATGGGGAGTGTTGAGCTGATGACAGTTTAAAAAAAAAAAAAGAGGTTTAATTGGACTGAACTTGGCTCATAAGCTCGAAGGACTTTTGATGTTAAAGCACTTTTTTTTTTTTTTTTATAATACACACTGTGCCTCCACATCATCTCATCTGTTTTCTCTGATGATGTGCTGTTTATTATGTTTTACAGTACAGGAGCTTGTGCATACTTGAATGTTAGTTATTTTCAAAATGGGTACCTGAAGCTGCAAAAAGTGCAAGAGCATTGAGCAACATGTTTGCATTCACCAGTGTGAATAATGTGCTGTGAACGCTCATTAGTGTTGTAAGGAGCTGTTCAGAATCTGAGAGGACCAACATGAAGTGTCGATTGTATTAGTACCAGCTTAATGCCCTGAAACACATTCATCTTTATGACCCTGAACAAGCTCAGTCCATATACTCTGACCATTGTTTTCATACTGTCTTTAGATGGTGATATTTATGGTATATTTGCATTAGTGAACATTGACAAAGGCTGTTAAATTGATAGATCTTAGTGGCAGCACAGTTTTTATAATACATTTCCTTTCTAATCTCAGACGCCTCTCAGGTGCAGAATTGATAATGTTGGTTTCCCTGTTGCTTCTTCTCAAACACTACACTGAGATGTAGGCAGCATAATAACCCTGTAACATTTTTCTTCTCTCTAGACATTTTAGTAAGTATAGTTACAAATGCAAAGTTTACATTAACGGGGCTTGTGGTAGACCTGCAGCTATTTTTCAGTGTTACAAGCATCACAAGTCCATGATGTGCCACAATCCAGATCTTGCTCAGCTGAGCTTCTTTTTAGAAGCTTATTCATAATTAATTTTCTCTCTACTCCATTCATCATCCAGTACAGGATTCATGTGATGTCTGGTCTGTTGCCTAACTGACCGAGCTGCCCTTCAGTGTCTACACATCGTGTTGTTTCATGGATCAAGCGTTATGTTTTTCTAATGGGGAGTATTTTAAGAACAGTGGCTGTAAACAGGCATATATTTATATTTTGAATGTTTTTCATTTGAACAATGTGAACACGTAACAGTCTGAAGAGTACACACTGAAATGTTTCAGAATAAAGAGATGTCATGGTTTCATGAATGTGGTGATTTGTATAATGTCTGAATTAGCACTTTGAGGTAGTTTTTCCCAAACCAAAAGACCATAAACACCCTCTTGCGCTGAACAAGTCATCAGTTCAAGAACTGATGAAGCCTCTTGGATGAGAGGTGAAACATTCTTGACCTAGAAATCTAGTCCAGTTGATTTTTTTCTAAGTTTCTAAGACTGAGAATCTGCACAGACAAGTCCTTTAGTTAAAAACAAAAATTGTTAAATAAAGCTTCACATAATTCAGGGGGTCCCAAGATTGTGTTATAAAAGTTGAAGTGTTTTAAAATGTAAATTGTGTCACCATACAATGTATTTTGCACATTCACTACTTTAAGCCTGTGTCCTCTGGTGGTAGAATAAAGAATGGCAAGTAGCTGTACAACTAGAATTGTTAATCTGTAGAAGAAAGTTTAAAGCCATGAGAGGAATTTAAAAGATAAAATAAAGACACGCTCATATCCACAGACTTCAAAATAAACTCAGCAGCTTTTTTCTCTGTTTGTAGCATTGTATGTATCCTACTCTATTTACACTGATTAGACAGTCTGAACACATTAAAATTTTTTCAGTTTTGTTTGTTGTAAAAACCAAATCAGACTTAAGCTGCATACATCCACTCAGTATACATCAACTAGGCTTTATCACTTGATTTAATGAAGGTTGTATACATGTAAATCATGAATATAGAAATTCTGATTATGCAGGATACTGTGTGCCAAGGCTCGTTGATTGTTTATAGTCCAGGATCCAGACTGTTGGTAGAGGTCTTTTAAACACACTAGGATTCTTGTCATGGGGCGTCAGACATAGACATATCTAATTTGTTTAGTCGCTGAAAGTTTAAGGCTCTGAACTCAGAGAAGAGCAGTTTGTCAGTCGAAGTCTCTGTCTGTTAGAAACACTGTAGCATCTGAAGACATGGCTATAAACCCCTGTTAGGAATAAAGACAGTGGTCAGCCCAAAGACGGTTTCTACATTTAATTCATTTCCTTCATTTATTTTTACTAATACTGACCTTCTCCACCTTCAGAACAGAGTTGACCAGCTGTGCTTGTTTCATTCTGGGTAAAATAACACCTTTGGCCAGTAAGACTGAAACACAAAGGGACAACTGAGGACAGGGACACTGCACACTATGCATTATACTATTCCTACAATGTGTATTACAGTATTTTATAGTCATATTCTAAAGGAAAAAGAAGTTTTATAACCTTCAGTGTTTATTATGAATATAAAAGATGTGGTCATACTTTAGTAACCAGGACATGGTGGGATAAGGAGGAAGCTTAAGATGAGTTTTGATGAACACCAGTTGGTTGTAGAAAAAGACTCACCGTTGACCTTTGTTGAAAGTTCAGTCTGGATTCCAATCTTTGCAACCTTTTCCAAAGGAGCAGTCTGCAAAGAGGAACATGTAATTCTTTACACTTTGATTCTCCTCAGTTTGTATATTCACACGCCTGCTGACATAAAATGCACTGTAGTGTTTGTTCCCATGTACCTGAAAGGTTCCCACTTCACTTGCTGCCAGTGTCAGTGTGAAGCTTTTTGGAAATAAAAATCATCATCATTATTACATTAAATTAGAGTTTGTGAACGCAGGCTCAGCTGTGTGATTTAAAGGAAACGGATGCTCACTTGTCCATTGTCACTGAGCCCTTCAGTCTTCCATCAGAAATCCACACTTTACTGCTGAAATTTGAGTTCTGAAAGAAAAAAATATGATTAATTAGCCAGTGACCAATTTTATAAGAAAAAGTGAAAAATTGCTCGTATTCATTCAAGGTATATTGACAGGCCAAAACCAAAAGTACTCACAACATTGAGGGTGAACAGTGGGGTCAGGGTACTATTGGGCTGGATGGCGAAAGCCTTCACAGCACCCTGGACGCCCAGTTTCACAGCATCAGGTTGGAGGGAAAATAGAGGCTCCTTTTTGGCATAAACCTGCAGAGTCATCAGCAGACCTGGAAACATCTTGGGAAGCTACAGGGAGAAATCAAGTTGATGGTAAACATTTAGTTACTGAATATTTTGAAGATTCCATAGTACAGAGTCAAGAGGGGCAGGAAAACTGGACACGAGAGAAAGTCAGTAAAGAGTTAGACTCTTTGATACATGAAATACTCAAATAAACTGAGTTCCTCCCTTAGTGTTGCCAAAGAGAACTTACCTGAGGAATGAAGATCCCCATTGAGCTGGTATTTAGATGCACAGGAGAGAATGGGGGTACCTGAGATAATGAGACCACATTTCTTAACCACAAACATTGTGTAAGGAGGAAAACTGTAAGTCAAACTTAAATTGTCTTGCTTTCTTCCTTTATTGATTCATTTATGCATCCTCTGAGGGCTACTTACCATGCTATCATTAATGATGGCCTGAAGCAGTCCGTCTGAGTAGCATCCATATAAGGCAGAGTTCAGAGTGAATTCAGACAGGCCCACTGACAACATGTAGCCTGGCTGTTCAGGTACTGTGAAAGGTTTGGCCTCAAAGGGAGGGTCCTTGTGAGTTCTGATACCGAAGAACTCCCCCTTCAAATAAAGAGCTGCACATCATTAATCCTAAATTTTTATCATTTGTTGTTGTTCTTTCACATTTTCACACAAGCCCTTGTTATAAATTATGGGTGCAAGAGTATATTTCATGAGTATTTATACAGCTGCTTTTGAACACTTTGCATTGTAGATTTAATTTGAAATAGGAAAAACACCTTACCTTAAGACCTAGATTTAGACTTGAAGCTTTAATGACAGGTAAGTCGCTGAGAGGGAGGTCAAGAGTAAGAATTTGATCCACGTCAAAGGAAACTAAAAAAGGTAGAAATTTGTAACTGAATTTGTATTTATACATTGAAATGCCTGACTTATTTTACTTTTGGTCTAAAGTGAAGTAGATTAACTTTTGACCAGTATTAACCATGTCATTGTGTACATTCATTAGGGTCTAAATGAAATGTAGCCTGCTGCAATACCGTTCATGGCCTGTAGGTGGGACTCCAGGTTTCCAATCAGTGTCTGCACACCAGGGCAGATCTGGGAAGAAAACAACAAGGCAAATGTTTCGTGAGGTTCACCTCACCATGGAAAATCCTAATAGTAAGTTTCTCCATGTATTATCTGATGATCATACAGGAAAGAGCAAGCCACCACTGATGCACATGAGAAATATGTTGAGGAACACTCACTCTGTTCTCGATTGTTGTGATGATGTCCCCCTTGAAGTTGTCCACAAAAAACTGGAGGATCTCACTATTAACAAATGAAAATGCAGTGCTTATAACTTGACATCAAGATCACTCTCTGCATCTCCCCCTCCCTCTGTTCTACTGTACCTTACTCCACCATAGAGTGCAATGTCCACATCTCCAATTTTAGCATTACAGCTGCCGCTGCTGACGGACAGACGCCCTCCAGCATCCTTCCCCAGCTCCACTACAGAGGTCACATCCACCATGGATGCAGCCAAATCAAATGATCCACTCTGACTTCTGGA